GTGATTTTGAGAAGTGAGAGTGTTTGGATAGTTGTTATCAGAAGCACTTTTTATATATACAAATTACTAAAAAAAATAAGTTAATATAATAATTACAGAAAAAATAGATTTTATGATATATTTTAATTTAAAGGAATAAAATTGTTAATAATATATTTTTTATTAACATAATTAATAATACATAAGATAATATAATTAATAAATAATTAATATGTATATATATTTTTAAAATATAATATTAAATATGTTTATAAAAAAATATGTTTATAAAAAAAATAACAAGATACATATCCTATAAGCTTTCACACTCTCCCTTTTTTCTCTAAAAGCAAAAAATTTCTGCTTTTTCCAAAACCATGGTTTTGGAGCCAAAACCATGGTTTTGGTCCAAAACCACGGTTTGCCCAAAACTAGTGGGTGTTTGGGTGACTTATCACCCAAACCATGGTTTGGGTCCCCAAACCCCAAACCATGGTTTGGGGTGTCACCCAAACGGGGCCTTGATAGGAGGGAAAATTAACAAACCATGGTTTTAGATTTAAAACCATGGTTTTATAAAAAGTGAATCTATTCTGCTTCTGATTCAAATTGGAGAGTATGATTGTGCCTATCAGAGTATATCTCAATGATAATATGACTTTAACACCCCTCAATTATTTTTTTATAAGCATATTGAATCTTATATTTTATAAATATATATACACGTATTAATTATTTATTAATTATATTATATTATATATTATTAATTATATTGGTAAAAAAATATATTATTAACGATTTTATTTCTTCAAATTAAAATATATTATAAAATCTATCTTTTATTTAATTATCATATTAACTTATATTTTTTTTAAAGTAATTTGCACATATAAAAAGTGCTTCTGATAACAACTATCCAAACACTCTTATTTTATCAAAATCACTTTTTCACAAATTTATTCTTCATAAAATCTATTCTCCAAAATCTATTCTTCAAACCATAGTTTAGTTTTATCCAAACATCCCCTAGTCACTAATGAACTATCACACGGTACAAAACAAGGAAGGCTTAAAAAATCTAGATTCCTGTTGAAGATCATAACGCCTCTAAGAAGAAATGTTGCTTACAAGGAAGTGTTTTCTAAATTTTTCAATTAAATTACACTACTTATTATTATTATTATTATTATTATTATTATTATTATTATTATTATTATTATTATTATTATTATTATCTGTTCTTCTTGGCTTTAGCACGTATGTTTCCATTTTCATATAAATTAAGATAATAGCCCCATGTATTACACGGGTCCAATACTAGTTCATAAATAATTTAGAACATTAATTTTATTTCAATATCATGGAGTTTTTTTTTTTGGGTGCAAAACATACAACATCAAGTTACTGACTTACTGGTTATAAAAGAAACGGATATTATATAAATATTGGTTGTTTTTCCTCATCTTTTTGGCTTTTAATTTTTCTACATATATGCATATCTTCTCCATTCTAACAAAAGTTCCGCTTTTTTTTTAATTATTTTATAATATATTCAAACTTAAACTAAATCTTCTTACATAAAAGGGTAATTATGTTGTAATTAAAAATAATATATTTAACTAGAAATAATTTTAATTTCCCAATAAGATAAAAAACGTTAAAAAATATTTTTTTTAAAAAAAAATCTTTCTTTGCCCAAATCCTGAAAGCTTGAACCGGCCAGCCACTATTGCACAGTGGGGACAGGGATTTGGGGTCTCCAAAGAAAAATATAATTGTCACACAAAGTTACATTTTCTAAAATATGCGGTTTATGCGCAAGAATATCCTAATTGTAAATTTTTATAACTAATTAATTTTCTTTCATAGGGTAAAGATCTAGAGTCGACACTTTTACCAATTTTTACAGTGATAAAATAATCTGCTATGAGAGGTGCCTATAATTTGAATGATATTCACAACATGTTGTAGTCTTTACTTTTTTTTCACAATAATATACAAGTAATCACTTCAAATTTACAAGCTGCAATATTTGAGATATGATACATAATACAAATATATTTTTTAGAACTAGAGATAAGATATAAATTTGATTATAATAATCCCTCGATAATTTTATCTCAATTATTGTTGTCCGTTTAAATGAAGGATATCAAATTGAGAAGTCAGACTTAACAATAAACTACATTAGTTGAAATATACTCTACTTTTTAAGGAATAAATTAAAATATTAATATTTGATAGACTAAATAAAAAATGTAACACTATCTGAAGGGAAAAAATCGAATTATTTATTTAATTTGTCTTTAAAAATTAGTTCATAAAAATTGATGTGGTTTAAAAATAAACCCCCTTATGATGACCGTTATTCTAATTATTATTACTTATATACAAAATTACATGTTTTTTCTTTAGTTTACACAAATTTTAATACAAGTTATACGATTTGTTTTATAAGTAAGGCTTACAACTTATGCACACCAAGTACGAAAGAGAATTTTAAAATGATATATAATCTGATCCAGAATATAAGTAATCTTTTTAAAAAATTCTTTACTTCATAATATAAGTTACTTGGCACATTAAATAATAAATGATTATTTTCCCTTTTTTCTAGATAATTATTGTTTAAATAAAAATCCTTGTATTTTCTTTTTCTTTCAGAAGCAATTTTTTTTTAAAATTTAAGACAAATTAAATGAATTAATCACTTTTTCTTAATTTCAGTGAGATAATCGAAAGTAACTTATATGATAGAGAACAGAGAATATGTATGTATATATTTTCTTCCATTCACAATATAAGCCGCATTCATTAATTCATTCATAATTAATAAATAATAGTTAACTCAATAAATCTGTTTTTAATTGAAATATTTTTCCAACTTTACCAACGTTAAATGAGATTGTGAAGGGGAAAGAAAAATACAAAAATAAATTAATAAATAAACATTAACTATTTTCCAAATAATTTATATTTTGAATGAAGTCATTTTTCTATATATTTGGAAAAGAACGGGTCACATGTAGTTTTCACTATTATTGGAATTTGGACACAGTGCATGTGCCATCGATTAGGTACACTGATCATTGAATTAGTTGCCTTCTTAGCTGTTTTGATTTTTGGGTCGCCCATTTAGGGCTGAGGTATTTTTATTCCTTTTTCCTATTTTGAATTTTTTTAAATTATTTTTCCAGCTAAAACAACATTATTTAATTTTTTTTTTAAAACTAAAGATTCTCGGTTTCTTATGACTTAATTACTCGAGGCGATAACCCAAAAAAGCACAAATCCGTGTAAAAGTTTTTTTTTTTTTTGGGAATAGAGGCGGGGATATAGAGAGAGAGAGAGAGAGAGGTGGGAACTAATGAGCATCCGGCCATTGATAATTTTGGCCACTTATCAGTGAAGAGTAGGTGATCTCCGCATAAAAATATACTATCTCTTATTATAAGATTTTTTTAACACGGTTTAAGAAAACAGTTAAAATTAATTAAAAGTTAATTAATATTTAGCAAATATAATTTTTTTCTAAATATACCTCTATATATAAATGGGTAGATGTGAGAGATTAAGAGTAAGATATGCTTAGGAATAAAATAGGTAATAATATATTAAATGTTTAAACAAACTCAAAAAGAAACTTATAAAAAGAGACAAACATATTCAAAAAATTAGATCTTATAATAAGAGACGAGATATATATATATATATATTTTTTGACCGGAAGAGACGAGATATATTTGAAAATAATAATTAGTGGACAAAGATTAAGCACTAGCAGCTTAAATTGCTGCACAGCACATAATTTGCTGATCCAACTTTTTTGACTTTTCCTTTCTAACAGAAATATAAATTTTCTTATTTTTCTTTTTACATTTTAATTTAAAATGGAAATATCACTTCTTTTTAATGAAGAGACAATATGTTTTCTTGATATAATTTAGAATATTCTAAAATCATTTTAGATTTGAGACTAATCTTTATCGAACCCGAAGTATAAAAGTTAAAGCTCTCTCAACAAATACGCTTTTCAGGATTTAAACTTATGTTTTTCTCTTTACAGAGGTGATATTGTTTACTATCTCAACCAACAAGTTGTTGATGAGAAGACAATATTAAACTTGTTACATATCAATAAAGAGACAATGCTAAGCTCCATTTGGATTTTTTTAAATGAGAAATGTTCAATAAATTTTATTAAAAAAATTAGTAAAATTAGTAATTCTCATTAAATATGTTTATTTTTTTTAATGATTTTTTAAGATTGTCCTACTTCAATAAAATTTATTAAAATTTTTCCACTCTTATTTCTCTTTGTGTATTTAAATTCTTAAATATACTTAAAATATAATAGATAATAATTTTATTTTAAAAATGTGTAAAATCTCTTATAAAAATTTCAATTTATCGCAAAATTAACCCAAAAAAAAGTTTGTCTGACGGCCGTTTTGTTAGCTAAAATGGAGGCGCGTCGCCAATTAGTCATTCCCAATTCGCCACTTCTGACCAAATCCATCACCAAAAAGCAGCAACCATACGCTCCTCTGTTTTCATTATTCCACGTGTCACTTTCCCATTCGTGAGATGATCCAATTTATTCATCGCTTTTCGAACTCCCCAATTCCTGATCCCCGATTGTCCTAGGAAACGCATTTACTCACTCGCAGATAGTTTACTCGACGGACACTCGCTCTCTGCCGAAGACACCTGTCCGGTTTTGTCTCTCTCGTCAGCTTTAAGTCCCCGTCTGGTTCCCACCTAAGAAATACTCGAGCGTCAGGGTAAATTTGGTCGATCCAAAGGAACTTTGAGAAAAAACCACTAGCGGTTTTTGACTGCTCGAAAATCGGTTTTCCGGTTTTTGTTTTGTTTTGTTTTTTTGTTTTCAAGGGATACGGGTTACTAGACAAACAAAACCATACCGAACCATTGAAGCTTTCCAAATAAAGTATTCAAAGTGCATCATTCATAAAAAGCACCTCTCTCATAAGGACCTTCCCAAAAGGAAGCCGTCTTCTTCTTCTTCTCCTTCATCTTCATCCTCACCGTCTTCTTCTTCTGGTTTTCTTTCTGCAGAAGCCCAAATTGTTCTGTAAGTTTCAGCTTCTTCTCGAGCATATACGCACTATTAATTATCACCACGATCTCATTTTTACGATTATTATTATAATAATAATAATTATTTTTTAGTTTTATTTTATCTGTGATTTTGGAACATTATTCTGATTCATTTGAGGATGATTGTAGTTTGGTTGATCTGGAAGGTGAAGGTGTTAAGAAGCCCTAGAAGAATGGGGAGAGGGAAGATTGCGATAAAGAGGATTGACAATTCAACAAACAGGCAAGTCACTTTCTCAAAGAGACGAAGTGGTTTGCTCAAGAAAGCCAAGGAGCTTGCCATCCTTTGTGACGCACAAGTTGGGGTCATCGTCTTCTCCAGCACCGGCAAGCTCTATGAATATGGAAGCTCCAGGTTCCTCTTCTTTCCACCTTCATTATTTATTTATTTATTATTTTGTTTCTTTTTCCCCTCCCTCAAAAGCTACCACAGCATTTTTTCTTTTTACTTCTCTCTTTTGGTCTAGATAATATGCCTCTAGTCTACACTCCTTCCTTTGTTTTAAAGGCAAAAAAAAGAAGAAAAAAATCTTGAATGTGATGACATTCATTCATACTGATCTGAACGGTAGCAGAAGAAATTAGCAGTCTTTTTTTAAAAAAAATATAATCCCACTGGCATATATTGGAGAGCATCTGCGAGCTTGAAATTGATGCATTAAAGATTGCTGTATGTCGTCATCTCTGTTTTTTTCTCTCTCTTGTGGTTTTGCAGTGATCACTTTACATTAAAATATGTTTTTTGATGCTTTAATTAGTTTTGGATATTGAGCTATTCTTTTTTCCTTTTTACCTGTTATATGCTTGCTTAGGTTAACAATTAACAGGTGTTAGAATTTTGGGTTGAATCATTCATTAAAAAGTATGGCACGCTAGCTGCATAAGAAAATTTTACTGAGAGATTATAATCATATTTGGACACTCAACAAAATCTTAGGTTTTAAAGCCACAAAAATAACCCGAATTATTACGAGATATTCAACCCAAAAAAGACAACAAAAAAGCAATATAAGTACAAGAAACTGAATAGCACTCTTTATTCAACTTCTTTTATGCTAATTATGTTACCCCCACTAGTACTTCACGGATCTGCATGCTTTGCTGTGTACTCAAATGATCTTTCAAGCCTCTTGATACTTTTCCTCTTTACTGGACTTCTAGTGGTTGGGCTTTCAATGCCATGTAGAAGATCTTGGGATTGAACCAACCGCTTTTGGATGACATGGACACCACTCTGATGACTGTGAATGCCACATATGACATGGCTGCCATGTAGGACTTGGCTACCAACTTGAATATCTTTATTGGATGCCACACAGGACACCATCTATGCTTATATTAAGTGCTATTGTTTGTTAGTAGTCTTCTTGTTCTGATCAATGCAATGTAAATTTGCTACTAAGCTTAAAAAACCAAAAGAAACGACACAAAAAAAATATGAAAAGAGGATATGTGTGTGTGTGTTTGTGTTGGAGTATTATCCACATGCATGCGTAAGCTAGGTGTGGGAATCGTAATGTCATCAGTATAGCAAGGCTAGATAGAATATCAGAAACTCCTCCTTCCTCATAATATATATATATACTACTTTCGGTTTTAATTATAAGATATCATTTGTAGTCTATAAATGAAGTCTTATAATTAAGATCAGAAGTTGTATATTCTTAATAGTAAGACCTATCCTGTGAAGTGTACACTAGCCACATAGGCAGACTGGCAAACTCATTTACAATTACTCTTTCTAAAGTTCAAAGATATAGAGAAGACGTTAAGCATTGGCAGTGACATATTCTGAAAAGGAATCTGAAAAGTTGAAGTTGCTGCGTTAACAAATTTTTTTGTATTTAGATAGCGTCAATGACCTTATAACCAAATAGCATGAATATTCTTCTGTAAGTAGAAACATTGTAAGTTTAAGTTTAATAGTATTTGAAAACTAAAGAAAAAGGAATTTAGGAGGGTGTTATACAAAAAAATGGAGTGGGCCTGAAATTTGCCCTCTGTCCATCTCTCTATAGTTTTCCCCCAATCATTTTTGTTTTCTCTATTCTCTCATGGTAATATGTTATTAGAAGATCACAGACACCCTTTCCCTATATAAACTCAAAAAGCTGTGCATGCGCATATTGTAGTACATTCCGTGCTCTTTTTTTTTTTTTTTAATGAGCACGGAATGCTCAAGTTAATTTGGATCACTTAGATTAATTTTGAATGGTCCATATTTAATTTAATTTTTTTCTTATTTTAGATTTTTTAAAATAATTATAATGTTATAATAAACAATCTTTTTTAAAAAATAAATTTATTATTAAAAAAACTATAAATTAAAAATTTTAAATTGAAATCATTCATACCATGTTTTGGATGGTTTAGATTTCATTATAACAATGAAATCTAAAGCATCCTTGTACTGCATATTACATTAGGCACATTTTTTTTTTACTAATGATTTACTTAGTGGAATATGTACTTGAACATGGACTTTTCTTTTCATTTTTTTATTCAACTAGTAAAGATTGAAATGCTGGAAGATCTTTTTTTCCAAAACCATACCTATTTAATTCTAATATCCTTTTTTTTTTCTAGAGGGAAAAACAATTTTCCAAAGACGGGTGTTTGTGGGGACAATAAAAGTAATGATCTAGGCATTTTGCAATATGACTTATATTGGAAAGGAAACCTCCCTACGCTCTTATCATCCACTTGTTTTTTTTTTTTTCATTCTCACTATTAGATCAACTTTGGACGGTTGATATTTAATACTATATAAAAATATTATTTTGATATCAACTAACAAAAAAAATTATATAAATAAGTTTAAATTATTAAATTTTGAGCTAAATAGTTCACATCTTTATAATTTTATTAAAATATCTTATATATATTTTTATTTTTTATAAGATATTAAATATCAACAGTGGTTTTTGAACTGAAATTAAATATCGACAGTTAGTATTATTTATATTACAAAAGTGTAAGCCGTATTGATGCTACCTCCTATCCTTAATATAAGAGTTAAATAACTAATTTGTGGATATTCAAAAAATTAATTGTTTGAGCTATATATTTGTAATAAATGGATGTTGTCTTCTCTAAAATATCCTTGTTAGTTATATGCATCAAAACTATTTCTTGGCGGAAACTCCTTAACATGTATAATTACTATAGGAATTGCTTGGTGAAAAAATTGATAAACATTGAAGACAAAGTAGATTGAGATCTTGGGATCTTATATTAGGGGAACAAATTGAACTCTCCAACTAGCTCTGTTTTTTTCCTCCTTTCAGTTAGCTCTTATATCAAGTAGTAGAGGTAGTATTATGTACATGAATACTTAAAAATACAATACATATTACACATATATGTGTTTATATATATATATATATATATATATATTCATCTAACTAGCTAGATCTTAATCAACTATAGATCGTATAGCGCATCAAGAAACATCTTATGTGGATGTATGGGCACAATGATAGTTATCTCAGTAAGGGCCTATTTGTTTTAGATTATTTAATTAAAAAATCGGTACTTTTGAGAAATTTTCAGATGTTTGTTTAATGTTTAAACAATTTAAAGAAATTTTTTTTTATTATTTTTAAATGCTATTTTAAATAGCTTCTAATTATATTTTAAGAAGCCACTTTCAAGTAAAAATTGCTCTTTTATATTCGTAACAAACATAAATAACTTTCAATTTTCATAAAATATCAAAATAATAAATCACTTTTTTATCAGAAAATTCGAAAATCACTTATTTTTTAAAACTCAAACAAACAGTGCATACGCTTGTTTTTTCGGAGAAACTCTTGTTTAGGAATCGCTTCCATTTCACACAAATTGTTATTTATACCCTCACTAATAAACTCATTCAACTCTCCATAATTTTTCAGATCAATATGAAGCTGGCTAGAGTGCTTGTGCCTCCTGGCTAGCCGACCTTCCCATCTATATTAAGTTGTTATTTGGTGATTGGTGATGTAGGACCCTCTCAAATCATGACTATGAAGTGAAGTTGAAATACTCTCTCTGATTCTTATTATGCGCGTTAAATAATTAATTTGTAGATAATGAACAATTAGTTATAATTAATTAAAAGTAATAAATAAGTGAGAAATATATTTTTATTTTCAAATATGCCTTTATGATAAATGACAAAAAATATGAAAGAGAATAAATAGGGAAATGTGATGAGAAAGAGTATGATAAATGAGAAGGAATAAATAATTAAGGATAAATTTGAAAAGAAAATTAAATGTTAAGACAAACCTTAATTGAAGCTTATAAAATCGACCACACCCCTCTCAAAATTTGTAACTTATAAATAGGAACAGAGGGAGTATATATTATGTCCACTATAAAATGGTTATGGTTGTTATGCAATACGCTTGCTTCTTTAATTTGTTAGTTTGATTTTACATCCTATTCCAATTATTGAATGAAGTATGATTTGCATATTCATATTCTCATATCTTAAATCTAAGAGCTAGTTAGGGATCTGTTTTGCTCTTAAATATAATTAAGACCTCAGTCTATTTTGTTTCAAAAATTTATAACTTTTTTCAAACTAACTATATTAATTGTACATGTTAGGGTGATTTTCATTAAAAGGTAGTTCCAATACCAATAATTAAAGGGGATATTTTAGGACAAAAATATTATATCAAATTTCTTATATCCATTATATGAGGTTCTCCAATTACATATCGTCATGTGGCCTCCTTTCTGTATGTAGGTTTATAGTTTAAATAATGATAATATTTTAAAAAATGACACATGACCATGTGTGATTGAAAAACTAGAGGTCGTATGTGAATGAATAATTCATGTTGTTGTTAGTTATTTGAGCCAGGAAGTACGTTATAGGCTTATTAGGCTAAGTGGAATTATATTGGCTTAGTTTAAGCACCAATCATAGATCATGCATTGCCAAGTGTGACCTCCGTTAGCTTCCCTTTTCCTTTTTATTAAGGCAAGGGCATAGATATGAAGCGTTGCAATAAAATCATATTCCTTTCCATTGTTTCATAAAGTTTTACCCCCATCATGTGCTTAGGGATCTAAATGTGTAGGAAGAAAAAATGATAAACACTCAGAAAAATCAATCATTTGCACGAAAAAAGTATTAATACCATAACATGATCTCTTATATAATTAAATTGCATTATATAGATTTACATAAACTTAACTTTCATCTTATTGATTGAATTCTCTGCTTAATTATGACAGCATGAAGTCAACTATTGACCGCTACAATAAACAAAAAGATCAGGAACACCACCCGCTTATGAATCCAGCTTCAGAAGCCAAGGTACTAAGTTCATAAAAGTCATGTCTAGTATTTGCAATTGTCAGTGTGCTTTATATTTAACTCCAAGCAACTAGATAAAATGGAAACATCAATTCCAATATAGAGAATAATATATAAGACTTAGAAATTATTGGTGAAGCAAAAAGTGAATACATTATGTAAGTAGGACCTAATTGGGGAGTTCATGTTGGTCCTATATGTAAGACCTACTTTATATTTTTATTAATTTTTTTTCAAGTTAACCCTATTGATATTTTCTCAACAATAATTAAGTAGGAGAGGTAGGGAGATAATTAGGATGATGTTTATGGAATTTAGAAAAAATATATCATATTAACTAATTTAATTAACATTTTTAATCTACTCAAATTAATTAACTAGGTGTTACATTTAGGATCAAATGAGTACTACTACAGAAATTGAAGTGGCACAAATTAAAGAGAAACAGAGATCAAGGAGAGATGGGAGAAGAGACGAAGAACACACACAACTCAGACATCTCAATGGCAACTAATTCAACCAACATAACTATTAGTGCTCTCTGAAGGAGAAAAAGGACCCCAAGTGATACATAACTAATTGATTTTTATCCAAACTTACCTTTTTAGCATATGCGTCTAATAAGAGTAAATTAGAAAGTTTAACTCCTTTAGACAAAAGCAATGATTTAACTACATTTTCCTAGTTCTGGTTAAGCATTTAGATACATAGGATGAGGCAGTATTTGGATAAGAAGGTCTTCAAAACATATATTGAGATCATTACAATCATATATATGCTTCTAACATTTTTTTAACAGTGCACAACCCAAAAGGTAACAAAAACTACTGCACAGCCTTCAATCGATTCACCTAATTCATGTAAACTTAGTTACTTTTTTTTCCCCCCAGTTCTCCCCTTATTTAATGCTCACTTTATTTTTTGAGAAAGGTAACATTTGTCGCAAGTCATTTTATACATCCAATAGGGGTATATTAAGAAAAGAAATTCTACATACGTTTTAAATTTTGTAATTTGTCTTATAAATGGAAACAAATCTCCCTACAAAGTTTCCTACTAATAGAAACTGAGGGAGCATTATTATAAGTTATATTCTAGAATGATTTTATGGTCCTTTAATGCATACAAGTTACTTCTGTCATATATGCTTCTCAATAAGAAAAGTAGTTTAAAGATTAGTTAAAGCATTAGATTTGTTTTAAAACCTTAATTAGTTCTCATAGGAAAAAGTGCAAATTTCATTTTGGTCCTTTAATTTTTCAAGTTGTTTAAATAATGACATATATGACAGAAAGAAAAAATCATTTGATACTAATGATTTTAGGGTTAGATGACTAAAAAAATAGTTTTTAAAAATTATGAGACCAAACTAAAATCTTGTAAAAAGTTAGAGAACTAAAAGTAAATTTTGACTTTTTTCAATATTACCCTTGTTATTTACACTAAATCCCAATATCAAATAATCCCTCCATCCCTAAATATAAGCAACAAATAACTACCTTCCCTAGTACAAAAGAAAATTTATTTTTGTTGGTTCAATGCTTTAAATATTCTACAAAAATACCCGTAATGAAGTCATTAAAGGGAGTCATTAATGGAGTTTCCTAAATTTATACTGGAAAAGAATGTAATGCTTTTGAGAAGTAATTGTACAATGTTATAAAGAGATTTGGACCTAAAGGCATCTTCATGCTTGTATCATTAGTTACAACTCGTACCTTCTTACAATTGCATCACTCTTGATTCAATGTAATAGTTATATCTGTTGTTGCACTTGTTAGTTTTGGCAGAGAGAAGCAACGGTCTTGAGACAACAGCTGCAACACTTGCAGGAATTGCACAGGTACAAGATATTGACCTCCACATGGAAAATGCTATGTGCTGTTTTTTCCCCCAAGAATATTTGGAACAAATTAGTGAACCAGAAGCAACTTACTTCCTTTGGGAAATGTGTAGGCAATTCATGGGTGAACAACTTTCTGGTTTGGGAATTAACGAATTGAAAAATTTGGAAAATCAACTGGAGATGAGTTTGAAAAATGTCCAGATCAAGAAGGTATGATAGATCATTTCAATTTATATCCACATTCAAGATAATTTAATAACATGGGGCAAATATGATAACCTGAGCTTTATCATTAATTGGTCTGCAGGATCAAATTTTGACAGATGAGATTAAAGAGTTACAACACAAGGTATATATTCAAGAATTCTGTTTCTGATCTTGCCATGTAAGAAAGGACTTCCCGCAAATTCTGACTAATTTATTGATTCAATTGCAGGGACATCAAATTCGTCAAGAAAATGTGCAACTTCACAAAACAGTAGAAGTCATTAGTAAAGAAAATGCAGAATTACAGACCAAGGTAAGATGACTAAAAAAAGAACATTTTATGATTTAGGTCATGTAAAGTGCTACAGACGAACAAGCTTGCCCTCAATTATTATTACACAAGAACATAGGAGGCAAGAGGAAGACATCAACTATAGTGAGCCTGTACTATTTATTTAAAAGCTACATGTTTTCAAGGTTTCTTTCAAGGTTTTCATAGACTTGGTTTGCTTTGTTTTGCCACTTTCCTTAGATTTCTGAAGCAAGCGTTGTGAATGAGGGAAATGGGAATTCTAATCATACACAGTCTGTCAGCAACAAATATGGATCACATCCACCTATTCATCTCCAGCTGAGCCAGCCACAGTCTCAATCTAGTGAATCACCAGCGAAAACAATGGAGCTGGGGTATGTACCTTCAAACTGGTGAAATAAACATACAGCTTGAACACCCGGTTAATTCTCACCATAGGAGTTAATCGATGGGGTTAGATTTGATCATAAATATAAGACTTCAATTTAATTTATCTTTGATATTTATCATTTTTCATCAAACTGATTTACTTAACTTATAAATTGATATATAATGTAATGTTACAGGGATATTTTAGCTAGGAAGATTAAGTCACATTTGTTATAATTAACTAATTTATTTCGTTTTATTAATTTACTCAAATTAGTTAAATAACTCCTATATTAAAAGCTGGAGAAAGTATATATTTGCATGTGTATATGTTGCTTATTCTCAAAAATTCCTACTAAGAACTTGATTTTTATGACAGATTACAGCTGCTTTAGCACTAGCTAGCCCTTTGAAAGTCTAGGATTCTCAATGCCAAGCTACCAACCAACTTTCCTGTGAGAGATGTTTCATAAGGAATCATATCTCTCTTTTCACTTCGATCAGCAAGATAGTTAGAATCAGAATAGCGCAATGCATATATAGGTATGGGTTGATGTTTCATCGGGAATTACTTCTGTTGTTGGTTAAATATTGGATATGTCTCTGTAAATTTTAGACAATAAAGCTATCAAATGTGCCAAAGTGTTGAATTATTTAGTCTTTAAGATCTGTACGTTGTGATCAAATGAAAGGAATTTGATCTGTTTAGGTCCTTTTGAGATGACATAACCATCGATGTGTAAACCTCCCATTTTCAATAATTTTGTTGCTGATATTTTCTTGAGGAAGAGTGAAGACATTAACAAGTATAAGTCTGGGGCATGAAGTACACAACCTTTATGCCCAAAAACAGAGCACTTATATTTATAATTTTCAGTTAATTAAAACAATCTCTCAGAGAGTTTCTTCACTCTTACCCTTGTCTTACAGTGAGTAAGACAATAATCATACAAGAATGATGTTTCTGAAACAGAGTATCTCAAGAAACATACTCAAACCAGATGAAATAATGGAGATTTCATTAGTTTTGGCTCAAAAAATGATTTGCTATCTTTGAAACTCATGAACTCATCAGATCACTTTTTAACTTTTTTGTTATATGTAAATACAAATTTGGAAGGTCATATTTTTTTTTTGGATAAAAGGAAGGTCATATTTATAACCAACCTATAACACTCTAAATTTTGAATCACTGGTCAAATAAGCTAATTTGGGGCAAAAGTTGAAAAATGTAATAAGTTTAGGGGTAAAAGTATAAATAAACAAAACTGTTGGGCAATGTATAATTATAAAAAATGCTCAGAAATTAAAGAAAAATATTAAAAGATCCAAAAGAGATTCCTATGGCATTTTGAGGCCTAGAGAAATTCTCATTTTTTCCAGTGAGGCCTAGAAAAATTACTTAAGGTAATGACGCCTCAAAAACAATTAATTTAGCAAAAAAAAAAAAACTTATTTTCAGATGAAATTTTAAGGGGTTTAATGGGAATATAATTATTAAAATCATGTAAAGCCCTACAAAAATTAAGAAAATTTATAGGGTTTTAATTGAGAGTTTATGAAGTTTATGAGGAATTTAATTTCCCACAAGTGACTTAAATTATTTTTAAATTTATTATTAGGAATTTAGGGCCTTCTGCAAATCCAATGAAAAATAATTAGATGTTATCGTTTGGCTTGAAAATTTTAAATAAATTATTTTATAATGTAATGAAGTTAATTAAGACAGAAAATTATTAAACAGTGGCTGAATTGATTTCAAAAAATAGTAACGATAGAGGAGGGTAAAATGGTCAATTTACCACCCTAAGCCCGAAAAGGAAATTGGCCCGTGCCCAAGCCCATTTTATAGAGCCCAAAGCGTATATAGTCTGATCCAAATGGGGGGAAGAAAGCCTGATCCATTATTTCGGAAAAAGAATATATACAAGAACCCCACGGGGGGGTGGGGATAAGAATGGGTTATTTGATGGGGGACGTAGTCCGATCCGTTATAGAACTAAACTTGTGATGCTTGTTTTCATTACATTCACGTTGATTTGAGTTGAGTTGTTGAATCTGGAATTTTTTTGCATGGGGAGTGTCGTTTGACTTTTTTTTTTTTTAAATGGTTTGCCAAGGGTATTTAAATGCTATAATGGATAAGCTATGAACATGTATTGTGGTGATGCGCGCGCGTTGATCGATTTTTAGGAACTGTAACTTGGATGGATGCTGTGTTGCTCCACTGTTTTGATGTTTTAAAATATTGAATAAGTACCAATAAGTGGTTGATTGGGGTGGTAGTAGGCCCGCAAAAAGAAGAACACAAGTTAGAATATCGAAAGCACATATGTTGGGAGTGTTAGACTAGTTGGTTGCGTGGACAAAATACAAGGCCAAAGAAGCCCAACGTTCAGATATTACGCCAGATATTAATGGTTTAAAAAACAAAAATGCTGAATAAGTATTCTAAATTGTTAAACTATCTTTAGAGACGCCAATATGATGGTTAAAACCGTTTTCTTGAAGCTCCAAAATTTTCAACTGTTCGAAATTTTTAAAAGGCTAAATTGATTAAAAGCAAGGGAAGTGGTGTAATAAGATAATTATTAGAAGTTTGATGTTGGAGAGCATGATGAGTTCGAAAATTGGAAGCTTAAAGTGCTAGGAATTAGTGCCAAAGGAGTTTCCAATATTCCCTTGTTTTTGTTGAGCCTCTGTTTGGGTAAGAAGGAGTTGGAATTTTGCAATTCAAAGCTTAAAAATGAATTATTTGTGCCAAATTGTATAGGGTGAGCATGAGAGAGGAATTACCAAGTAAGAGAATAGAGAAGTCACGTTAAAATTTGAAGTAAGACGGGACAAAGTTATAATTGGCAAAAAAAAAAAAACAGAAGGGACAAGGTTATAGAGTTAAACGAAAAACAAGAATTTGGCGCTTAGAGAGAGATTAACTATGTTATTAAAATATACCAATTTGTGCGAATTAATCTATATCCCTATCAAGCAAGGAAGAGGAAGTAAGTTGGAAGTTGGTACAAGAGGTCTTCAACCTTTTACTTCTCATATTTTCATGCATAGTTTGTTGCATGGTTGTTTGTGCCATATTTGCTGTTAGGGACATGCAAAGACCAAGTTGGATCGGGTTATACCTGATGTCCAGTCTAAATAGCATCAGGTTAGAAAAAGTAGTCCATATCCAATCTGATCTGGGCAAAATCCAGTCCTTACCCAGAGTAGACCTGGTTATATGGGGCTTTCGAGCTGGTCTCCATTAAAAAACCTAAGGAAAAATTCAAAAAATAATCCAACCCAAATCAAAGAACCCACGTCCTTGTTTAGATGCAAAAACCCATCTCCTTTCTCCAACAAAATCCAGACCTGAGATGAAGTTGAAGACAGTCTTGAAGTCCAAATCTAAGAACCCAAGATGGAAGATGCACGAAGGACTAAGGAATTTTGAGGCGAACATCAAGAAAAGCAGCAACAGCAAATTAATAAGAATGAACAAAGCTGGAAGACGAACAAGAACTTTATGAAGCTATGGAAGAGAAGTGAGAATGAAACCAAGCCACTTTAGATCTGAACACAAATTAGCATAATGTTCATTTTTACTCTGTATTCTTTGAATAATTTTCTTTATTCATCAAGGGAGAAAGAAATAGTTTCAAAGAGCTAATGAGACTGGGGAGTGATGATGAGAGAAGGTGAAAGAACTGGGTGGGGTAGAGTTGATGGGAAAGGGGAAGTGAGGAAGAGAGGTGAGACAAGAGAGTGGGTCAAGATGGGAATAATTTTCTTTATTTACCTGCAAGGTTTCTTTTCTCTCTGTTTTTTTAATTAAAATATACTAAGTTGGACTAGACCTAGTGGTCAAAAGGATTAATTCAAATCCTGGTTTGAGCTGACCAGTCAGCCCGACTTGGTTAGTCTAGTATCCTTATATCAAGTTGATTTTTTTCTTGATTAGTTTGGACAGGAACGAATCAGGTTAGGTTAAGTCAGACCGGGTTCCAGGTTGTATTTGATTTTTTTTGTTGATTAGTTTGGATAGGAACGAATCAGGTTAGGTTAAGTTAGACCGAGTTCCAGGTTATATTTGATTTTTTCTTAATTAGTTTAGAGAGGAACAAATCAGGTTAGGTTAAGTCAGACCGGGTTCCAGGTTATATGCGCAGCCCTACTTGCTGTAGTTAATAAGCATGAGAATGTGTAGATTTCTAACTCAATTTGTTGCCGTGGCCATGTGCATTACTTAGTTCATCAAAGTAAGGTATTGTTCTTTGTGTGACTTATCAGCATGAATGACATTGAGAAATTGATTGCTATTAAGATTCTCCTGAAT